TCGAATCTCAATTTAGGATTTTGCATCTCTTTTTCTTCAATATTTTCTCCGCCCCGCTTCTGCACCCCCTCCCCTTCCCCTCCCCCGTGCCGCCAACGGGCCTTCATGACAAAAAATAGTATGTGTCATACGGACCGTGACGTCGGTTTGCGATTCGTGTGAGTTAGCAGCTTCACACTCATCGCAAACCTCCGTTCACGGTCCTAATGACACAATATACTATTATGTCATTGGGCCCGAAAACCGCGATCTAATCGAGCGAAGCGAGGTTAGAATCGCGGTTTATCGGGCCTGATCACATAAATTTCAATTTCCATGAAACACGGCAAAAAAGAAAAGCGCTATAAGCAACTTTCGAAATCGAAAAGGAGTCGAGCAAGTAGTGCTTTTTCATTTCTTCACGTATGAACAAATCCTATGGAGAATGCGAACATTTCCTATAGGATTTTTATGAAATTTGGGGTCATAAGGGCCATATGGAGGTCATATGGGGTTCATGTAGGGGTCATATGGGGATCATGTGGGAGTCATATGAGAGTCATATAAGGGCCATATCGGGGTCATGAGAGGTCATTGGAGGCTCAAATGTATATGAGGATCAAATTACCTTCATATGATATCCATATGACCCGTTTGACCCTCATTGTGACCTTTATGCCCCTAAATTTGATAGGAAATCCTGTTGAAAATTTCATATCAAATCTTATAAGACATCCTCCAAGGAACACGATAGGAAAACCTGATAAAGAATCGGAAATGAATAGGAAATGTTCGAATTCTCCATAGAATTTCCTATAGGAAATTCCTATCGTATAGAATTTATAGCATATCCTCTAGAATTTTTTCATACGCGTATGGTTTGTTGTTAGGTTCAAATTGTACTTGACAAGTCTGTAAGTGAAAAAAAAAGCTTTATTTTCGGGTGTTCTCAACTGCGTTGAGACAGCTTAAGATTTATTGCTTCCTTTCCGGTTACGTGAGTTTTTCAGTTTATTCTCTCAAAATTGATATTCTTCTTTCATGGAATTAAAATTATGAAGTGGTTCAACAGAGATTTTTAATTTTGCCGGGTCACTTCAGTCGATATAGTAGTTATCTATGTATCAATATCGTAACTACTTATAAGCAGCAATGTCTATGACTTTACGTTACATTGCCTGCCACCCAGTGTCAATATGGCCGTGGTCTCGAGCGCAGTTTGGGGATGGACGAGCACTCGGTAGTTACTCACTCCAGCTCACGACTTTTAGTTCATTATCATTGGTTATTTTTCATACCAAGGAACGTCAGTGTCTTATGGGTAAGCAGTCGGCATTGATATTTCATAACCATTGGTTTTATGCTCCACGATAACATAAGTGAGATAATGGAGCTGGCGCACAGTGTGGAAAATTCAGCTGCGTCAAAAGGCAAGTTTTACTCAATTCGTTTCCCTTCTCCTTGCTGACTCGGCCATCTTCGGAAAATATTCGCATTGTTTACAATTTTGTAACCTATAAAATTGCATGCCTCTTTTTGCGTGTTTTGAATTTGTACAATTCACTTTGGTGGGGGAATCAGTGGAGTTGAGGATTTTTTTTTGTGTTTTTATTAAAAGTTGTACGTAGTTTATACTGCGTGTCGAAACAGTTTTCGGTATGTACGAGGACGCGTTAGCCCGAAAAATAATCAATATGTTGGGTTCTATTAAGGGGTTTCCACGGCCGAACTTGGTATTTGTCTATTCACTGGGCGATGTTCAGGGTTTTTGCCTCTTTCCTGGGTTTTTGAAAGCGTTTTTCTTGGGGCGTGGGACTGCGAGGGTAACGACTCGCCTTTCTACGAGGGGATTTTCCGGTTTTATCGGGGAACCGGTGGGAAACTGGGGCCTATGGTGGCCTGTGGAACGGGGGGGCATGGAAAATTGGAGAAAGCACCTGCTAGGCAGTTGCCTTCGGACACTCCAAAAAGCCATGAAACGTAGATGCTGGAGAGTCGCTTGTTTATTCATACGAAAATAGATAATTGATGTGATACGATGCTGTTACTTCGGAAATGGCGAAATAAAATGTAACAAGAATAAATATTTTATCAGGTATGGAGGGTCGATCATGGATGGAAAAGTTCAAAGCAATGTCACTGCTCAATCGATTTCGTCCCAGCTCTTTGATCTCCTTAATGACATATTACGCAAGGTAATTGGAAGCACTGATGCTTTGTTTGATGGTATTGTTTATTCTTAAACACAATGTTGATACCAGTAATTGCGTGTTCCTGTGTACTGGTTTTGATTGCTCATTAAAACAACATTTCACTTGTCAAAACAACTAATTTTGCATTTTCAATTGGAACGGATGCACAGTAGTCGCAGGGCATCCACGTAAATTAGAATTTTCTAGTAAAGGATTGAATGAAGATCGAAGTAGTTGGTCACAATCTTAATTACATTATAACGCTTGTCTGCATTCCGTTGGATATTCAAATGGATACGGAATATCTCTCAAATTGGGGCAATATGAAAAATAGTACACTATTCACAATAATCTGTTTTTGGATGTGAAAAAGTATTATTTGAGAATTTTTCATTGCAGAAACATACAACCCATTGTTAATGAGTGTCAGACGAGCCAACTCCAGGTGGAAAAATTGAAGGATTCTATGAGTGAAACTCTACTCTTTTTTTTGTATTGCTATAGAGCTCAAAAAGAGGTGAGAGCATTCACTATTTCATCATTCCTACCTGCGATAGTAAAGTTTATTTTACATCCATTGAATAATCAATGAACCATTAATGATGAACGGAATTTAAGACCTTCCAGGAAACTGAATGTGCGGCTTATATGGACACAATGTCCGATTTGTTGGCAATGTACATAGACATGGAGCTGAAGGCATCAAAACGGAGCAGTGAGGCACAAACCAATATTTCAGCTCGACTAATTTCGTACCTTTACATTTGCTTAGGTGAGTCAATGATGAACATCATCATCCATTTTCCGTCCGGTATACTTTAGCACCGACACTGCAGTTTCTCGACAAAATTATCTAGACGTAGAAAAAGTTGAGGAGAATTTACTGAAAAATGTATATAATCGCGGAGTGGAATTCCGTTCTAGGTGTTTTTCACTCTGTAATCGAGGCAAAATGGGAGACGAACGGTGAATTTTCTCTGCTTGCTGCAAACATTTCAGTAGCGAAGCGGTAAAACGGTTTAAGGGGTAATAGAATGCCGTTAATTTTCAAAATTTTTGAACAAATTTCCTGCCGACAGTTATCGATATTTTTACAAATCACAGCACATTCATCTCCAGGAGGCGATGATGATGATGTCTATGTGCTTTGGATGGCAAAAATAGTAATAACTTGAGCAGGAAATTTGTTTGAAAATTTCGAGGAACTTTTGTTACCGCTTGAGGGGTAACGGAAGCCGTCGCAAAAGTTTTTTTTTTTCAACCTATTTTTCTCCGATTGTATCTAATATAAATGGCTGAAATTTTCACCAAGTATTGAGGGGAGTCTAAGCCTTGTCGTCCATCTATTATTTTTTTGCATCAGCTGTGTCGTTAAGTTTTCTGCATTTTATTTGCGAAGAATCTGAAAAATGATAGATGGGGGACAACACTTAGTCTCCCCTCAATACTTGGTGAAAATTTCAGCCATTTATATTCGACACAATCGGAGAAAAATGGGTTGAAAAAACAAACTTTTGTGATGGCTTCCGTTACCCCTTGAGGGAATACGTCGGTGAAATTCAAGTCTTCGCTGGGCCTTCGGACCCATTGAACAGTTTGTGATATAGGGTAAACAGGTCAATTTATGGACGGGGGTTAGTTTCTGGACGATTTCAACTTGCATTGAATATTCCACAAATAAAATGAAAATTGTATTAATTATTTCACCTCTCCATAATATCACTTGTGTACAATCATGTGATCAATTATTCTCTTCTATTGATCAACATTTAATAAATAAATAAAAATATGACCAAGTCGTCCAGAAATTGGGGGTTTCGGCTACATTCAACTATTTGTCAATTTAATTATTCTTTGTTTTGTGATTTTCACTGTAAACTATTTTTTTTCTGCTAATTAAAACATTTCCTTTAACCTGGAGCGAAAAGGTGGGTTAAAAATTTATGAAATTCAAAATTCATTTATTCATGATCTATTGCCAATAGAGTAATAAAACGGATGCTTAACTTTATTCTTTGAAGTGTAACGAACATTTTGAAAAAAAAATCTAAAATCGTATGAAAACTACAGCGCAAGGAGCATTTTGACGGTAAAAACAGGAAAAAATGATGCCGATTTGATGATGATGATGATTTTTCGTGGTTATACGGGGTAAAATCGATCGGGTCCGAGATTTTCCCTAGTTATTACCATATTCCGTCATATTTCATAAACTATTCAATGGGTCCCAAGGCCCAGTGAAGTCTTTTATATTTCACCGACGTATCGCCTCAAGTCGACAGCCTTCAGCTGAGTTTTCAAGGAATATCTCTAAATCGAAGAGAGATAACGAAGTTTTCGTAGTGACATTTCTTGTAGAGTGAATTGAGAACTATAAAAAGATTCATGACAAAAATGTTGCCAACTCCTTCAGATTTCGAGATATTTATTGAAAACTGGTCAATAGTCAAAATCGACTTAAACCGTTTTACCGCTTTGCTACTGATTTACTCGTCTGGTAATTTGTTCTCAAGTGGTAAAATTTATCCGGGATTTCATGAAAATAATTACTCAATGTCTAGGAATTTCTTCAATTTTCACTTTTGTCCATTTCCATGTCGTTTCCAAATATGTGGAGTCTAAGTCGCCGAATTTATGCCTTCATTTAAATAGCATTGTCGGATATTAGGCCGTTGGACGTTCGGATATCGGAACCATTCAAATAGCCTGTCATTAGATGGGCGTTCGGATATTGGAACATTAGACTTTGCTCATTAACTAACTTCATTTTTCTTGAATAATCGAAAATAGAGATGCAAATTTACTCATTTATGTGGAGAACATGCCGATAAATGTCCCTAATCCTTCGCACATATAGTTTGAAATCAACCAGTTTAGTGACTCAAGTTTATGTCCAGCAGAAACCTTAGGCTGTCGGGTATTAGTACCTTTACGGTACAGGGAACCGTAATATTTGCCGTCACACATTTCATTTTTTATTCAACGAAACGTAAGATATTCTTCACTTGAAATATTTTTTTATTGAATCACGTTTTGCTCAACGATTAGCTTCACGATTACAGTAAAATTTGCTGAGATTACCGAGATTTTTCGTCGATAATTCCTTTCATATATTGATCACCATAGAGTCCCTTCATTTGTTGAAGCATGTAATGTTTTGGTTTTAAACACCATATTTGCCTGTAGAAATTGTAATTCCAAGTTCCATATCTACATATATGAGGTATACTGACCCTTTTGTAAATCGATCTCGATTTTTTCTACGACTGGGGGGCTACGAAAACTATCTCTCAATTTTTTTCCAGATTTTTTCGACAGCTCATTTCGGAGATATGATTTTTTCTTTTTTCCTTTTTTTCAATAACTTGGATTCTATTCAGCAGATTTTAATTTATGACGGCTCAAAATTTTCCTTTTTCTACCATCTATAAGAAGATTTTGGATAATTTTTTTTCCAATCCCTAGGTGCTCATAATGCCAAATTAAAAAAAAATTGAAAAATTTGAATTTTCAAAATTATGTCACCTTTTATTTTTCTCATCTTTTTTTCAGTAACTCTTACAATCAAAACAAGTATTTTGAGTCGTCATACAAGTCGGGTTCCATACCGGATCTATTTTATTTTCAAATTTTTCTTCTCGAAATTCCGCAAATTTGGTCAAAACACTCCAGAACGACTTCGATTATGTACAAAAAAATGTAACATATAAGTATACATTTAAATTTACTTCATACTCTTTATAATCAAAGTCAATCAACGCCATTTTCGGAACATGGAATACTTCATATACATATTGAATTCTACTACGTCGGAATTTACCAACCCAATTACACATTGTACAATTCCAACTTATGAATGTTTACTTCATTGTGCGCAATTCGATTTGTTTAATTCAAGACAAATAGAAAATTCACAGAAATCCAGCGCAGATTGGTGGATTTTCCTTTTCTTGAATTTTCATGTTCCAATTACACCTGTTAAATTGCACACGACAAATTCAACCTTTACAAATGTGAATTACACAATGCAACAGAAGAATATTACGACCGCGCTGTCACACAAAATACGATTTGAAATGAAAATCGTTGAAATAAACTGGGTCGACGGGTAAATGCGAAGGCCCTCATCACGACAAAGCTCAAACATAAAAAAAATATACAATGTGGCGTCCAGGTTGCAGCACATATATTCCATATTTGAATGCTGTAATCAGAATGGGAGGATGACAGCTCCTGTAGGCAAGGTCTTAATGCAAACCATCAAGCCCATAGAGAAAAATTATTTTCACTAAATATCCATTTACTTGAGAGAAGGATTTATTTTTTCAATACCGCATTTCTCCAGTGGAGTCATTCCCAGACAATCCTCATTAGGTTCCAATTATGTCCATTGTATTGCTCTAGAAAATGATCATGTTAATCATAACCTCGAGTGAACTCCCTCAATAATTATAACCATTAAAAAATTAATCGAAATTCTTCCCTCTAGAAAATTAGAAATTTAGGAAAACTGAATGAATAACCATTGAATGAGTTCATTCAAGAGAAATACGATTTTGGAAAAATAAATGCTCCTCTCAAGTAACTGAATCTTTGGTAAAAATATATATTTTTCTCAGTGGAGGTTTTATAGGCATCAGAGTATTTTGTGGAAAAAATGCAGTGTCTGTGTAAAACTGTCTTCTGGCCTTCAATTTCACAACAACTTAACGCGATGGTTTTCTTATTTATTCTGCAGATAAATCACCTCAACACCTCATGGATACATTTCTGAAAGTGCAATTCCTGAGCTCCACTTATCAGCAGATTTTAGATCCACTTATAGAGTAAGTTCATTCAACTTCAAATTTCTCTAGTGTGACAGTTGACACATCCACTCCATCGATGTTTGAGTAATAATAAATTTTTGACATTTCAGGAGAATCCTTAACAAGGTACCAGAACATCCTACCTGCGGTGTCATGTACGTTCGATATTTTCTCATCTATCGTATTTGGAGAAGAATAAATAAAGGTTCTCCCGTGAAGAATGACATAACTGTCAGGGCGAGGAAGTCTCTGCGTTCGTCGCCGTCTACATTACCAGAGTATCTTATTGATAATGTACTACCGAAAGTGCCAAATACCCAAAAAATCACCACAGAGATTTTATTAACTCAGAAGTTTGATTTGGAGAGATCAGCGGAGAACTTCCTAAAATTCGTAAAAGAATCGTGGGATCCGCCGCTTGTCGAGGACAGTGAAGCCACCAAGGTATGTTATTTTTATCAAATTAACACCCTCATGAATATTGATAACACAAATTGTATTTTCATTAAATAACACCACACTCGTATGAATAACTAATTATGAAAACACTAATTACAATGTATTAATTCCAGACGCATCTCTCAATTTACGATAATAATCAGCCTGAAGATAAATCGACAGTTAATTCGAACATTAGCAACCAATCAAATGATATTTTGAGTAATTCAATTATAAAATTAAATACCGATAAATTGTCACCAAAAACTCAAATTTTACCGCGTAGAATACCCAAGAAATTGGGTGAAGTAGTTTTAATCGATTTAACAACTGACGATACAAATGGTAGAGTATCGAAGCTGAAAAAATCTGGCAGACGTTTGTCGTGGCTACAAGAGGTAGCAAAGAGGAAAATAACAAACAACATCTCCAAGGAAGATAGCACCATTGAAGATTTTCGCAAATTGAATTTATCATTATTCCTCACAACCGATGGAACTCAATCCATGATTATTGAGGAGCATCAAGAGACAGAGACAAGTGCACTTGGTATCGATAGTCTGAGCTTGACGGAGAGGCCTGAAACCATTGAACTCGAGCCGTCTGATGAACTAAAAGTATCAGAAACTGACGATAATGTAAATCCTTCATTGCAGGATATCTCAGCGTCATCAAACAATGATGATTGTAAAATAACCATGGATAATGAAACGATTGAGAGTGAAATTAAAGTACAAATAGAAGTTCAGAATGAGCTTGAAGTAACGACTGAAATTAACGAATTAAAATGTGAAGATAATATAACGGAGATGTTAAGGGATGAAATCATTGATGATACAAATTCTGCAAGTACAAATTTTGTTATTGAGTCCCAGAGGGACACTGTACTTCATATTAATCACAAATTGAAGGAGAGACGGAGGGAGATGCTCGACTGTTCGCCGGAGAAAATCGCTAATGGTCACTTTCAAGAGCTCCCTATAGACGGTCTCTCATTACTTGCTATTGTATCTCAAAATGCGGCCCACTTGAGTACAACGACAACAAGTAGTGATCCAAGTAATGCAAATCGTGAGATTATCAAAGTCAAAGATTACAGGAGTCTAACAGAGTTGGGAAGTGTTAACGAGATGCATCAGCCTAACAACGCAGGCGAATTATCAAGCAGTACAATTCCAATATGTCCCAATGATGACATCGACGAAGTAGCACTTCAGATTGAAGTATCATCGTCGGAGGATGTTGAGAAGTTACCCACTGATGAAGATAATGAGTGTCCAAATAGTTCAGCCGACAGTTCGATGCAATCAGAGAGGGAGGAGCCAAATGTCATTCTGAGTGGCGAGACAGTGTTCCTTTATCAGAAATCTCCTAATAGCAATTTGTACATAATAAACAAAGCAGTTGAGAATCGCGAAGGGGAGGAGGGCAATAATATGAGTGACAAAGTCGCCCCAATGGAGGGCATTGACGAGGCAAATTACCCTTACGAAATTTACGAGAAAATGTACAGAATTCCTCAGCCAGCGGTACCTCAAACATTTGACGATCCCAGACGTGCACAAAAGGTCAAAGTGACCACCTCAAGCGACACTGGTCGAGCAATTGATCTCCAGAAAACCGCTATGAAGAAGACAGTCAACAGTATAGAAGTTAAATCACCGAGAAGGCACAGGATAAGGCAGGAATTTAATGGATGTCCCTCTGATCTCGTCGACCCACATTCCATTCATATTCCAGCCACAACATCCCTCTATCACGCAAACTATCCCACTTCAGAATTGTACATCTCCTGCCGGCAAAATTGCAGCTCTGTTACCTGCGCTATTCCAGTCAATCAATCAGCTCCACCAATGCATTCCCATCAAAACTCATTGAGATGCACATGTTTAAACTGTCCTTATGACATTGTCACTCACTTCTCTCAATGCATCATTCCACCGGGTGAGGCGCAGCCGACAAGTGGAATTGATGGTGTTTATTACATTGGAATTCAGCCGTCCTCGGTCCTGCAGGATTGCAGTCTCAAGACAGCGCACGAGACTGATGTCAAGCCATTCGATGAGAAACCCCTGTACAAGATTGAAATTGATAATGAAATTGACAATAACATACAGGAAACATTTGGAAAGACAGATGTCAATCGGAAGTTGCCTTTGAAGAAGCGGTTTAGCATGATGTCTACGAGCTTTGGGGAGACGAGTGTCAAGACAGAGAAGCCTATTGAGAATTATCCGAATATACCTATGATATTCATAGCCGCTCTGGAGCCCACTAACGACATGAAATTATCACCTGGATTGAATAATCATCAGATTCATTCCACTGAAATAATCAGACGTGATTACGAGAAGGATTTAATCAACGGTTATCACTTCAACGACGATCGTAAGCGTAAGCAATGCGACACTAGTACACCAGTGCCAATCAAAGCACGTAAGCCGAGTACGGAGAGTAGACAAATATCGAGGCCTTCGAAGAAAGTTCAGGAGCCAAAGTCTCCGACTAAAAATTCAAAGAGACAGACGAGACTGTTACAGAGAAAAGCACCTAGAGTTAATTACTGCTACGATGATAATGAGAGAAATCCGTCCTGTGCGTATAAGCGTAAGCGCAAGAGTAGAACACGATGATCAGTCAAAGTGTCACTTGTCACCTGTCTCATTAAATCCTCAATAATTACAATTTTGCTAAACATAAAAAGCAGAGAAGCAGAGGGAGATTGATATAATGATAAATACCTGACCGTTCGACTGGCTGTGGTATTGTAACTGTTCATTGTAAATAATTTATTAGTATTATTGCGTGTACATAATTATCAAAATCAATGGTAGATTGATTTTTATTAGATAAATTCATTATACGTAACAGATTCGACATGGAAGATTGATCATCACTTGAAGATTTCAACAGCTTGAAGATTACAATTGATTTCCTGTTGCTGTTGTGAAGAAGAAAAGCTGGTGGTTTTATTCTTTCGCTGAATAATTCTCGCTGGAACCGAGAATACAGGGCGTCGATGCCACAGCATCGATACACCACTGGTGAGTTACCGATGAATTATTGACTAATCAGACTGCTTAATGATACAGTAAGGATTCCCTCATGTTTTTAGGTCATGCAGCTGAAACATCGGGAGCATACCGAACTGTATCAATATAAGAAATAGCGCCAATATCAGAGTTTCCGCCATATGAATAATTCACCGACCAAGATACAACAGAAATTAAAACGAAAAAGCCCAACAAAATTGACAGAACCAAGTAGAACCTATTTTTTCGATGAGACAAGTGAGAGGGGATTCATAATCAAAATACAACTGAAAGGACCCTAGTCAATGAATAACAGCTGTTTACCATGGTTTTACCATTTTAATTATTTAATTTAATCAATCAATTTGCATGATGTCTTCCCCCTATTCAGACGGGCGTCGCTGATTATGTCGATCCAATCTATTATGTTTATCAATTAAAATTTATATTTTTATGATTTTTTTTTCTTTAGTTTTTATTTATATTTCTTAAAACGAAAGACTGAGAAACAAAATATTGTCGCTTGCATATTATTTAAGCCGAATTATAGAGAAAAGAAGCAGTCAAATGTAATGGATGATGAATAGTATTAGAGAATCTTCCTGACCTCCCAATAATTGACCTCTTACTCCTTTTGTGAATTCTTCAGTTCTCCAGAGATCATGTTTTCGGGAGTTTTACCTGATACCTGATATCCAAAACTGTGATTAACGATACTCAGTTTAATAATTTTTCATATTTGAATTGTATGTGCCATTCTCACCCATGTCTGCCAAACAGATTTATTCAAAATAGATGATAATAATAACCCACATTGTAAACAGACTAACAGCAGATAATTTTCGCATAGTTTGAATCGTTAGTTTATCGTAGTCCTCGATTTCTTCCAACAAATGTATCCAATACGTAATTACTTTTAATCGGGAACTTGCATGCAGCTCAATTCTCTCTAATTTCTCTATTCACACATTTCTTGTAAATGTGGATAGCTAAACGGCGAGAATTATGGAGAAATATTGCCGAGATGTCCTATGATAATTAATTTAAAATCAGTCGTTTTCGAGGTCAATTTTTCGATTATGACGTCACGAAGACGGTCAGGTAACGCTTCATTGGTCAAAAAGAAGAGAGTGGGGAGTTGCCGTCCTCCATTGGCCGAGGCGCACCTCAAGATTAGGTTAGGTCCGCTCGAGCCATTCTGTGATTGGTCCAGCGCTCGACCGTCCGTGTGACGTCATTAGCGATTTCAAAGCGTTTTAATACTTAACTATTAATTAATGAGCAATATTTCAAACGTTTGTGAATGAAAAATGAATTATTCAGGTCCCAAACTTGAGATTAGAAAATTGAAAAAAATTCATGCAAGTTCCCTGTTCAATTGAATGTTAATACTTATTATGTTACTACGATTTATTTTACACAAGTCTGATAGCCATAAGAAAAAAGAAGTATTAAAAAGAAACCTCAGAGTGTGTACGAGTGTTCTAGTAAAATTGTGTGAGGTGAATGTTTTATTGCAAGACTATTGTTTCTTTTCTTTCATGAAAAACAGAATAAATGACATATTTAAAGAGAACAAATCTAATTCAAGTAGTCTTTAATTATACGAAATGAATTTCCCGTATCAGTTCCTCAAGCTGGCGCGNGGGGGGGGGGTAGATTAAAACAAAGCGACAAAGGAAGTGTAAAAAGGGGATGTGGGCGGGTGTCGAGCACTTTGGAAAATTGTTTTGCACCCTTGCCTTCTTCTGGAGTAGACAACACGATGTGGAACAGAGGGTGAACGTACGTAATTCCAACGAGTGTGTGCAAGTCTCCAAGTTATTGAGGGTAAGGAAGGGGTTTTCCTTTTTTTTCCCCCTAAAATTCTGAAGAAAGATGAAGTTAGGAGCGGAAGCGCTTGCGCACTGTATTGGGGGTGCGTCGGGAAAAGCTCGGGATTCGAGGAGTACCAAAGGTGGGGGATGGTACAGTAGTGACTATTATGTGGGTCCGAGCGAGGCTCAGTTTCGCAAGGTATATGAACGGGTTCAGTGGACAATCGAAAGTGGAAATAAACGACAATGTAGTTGTTTAGTATCTGCAATCGAATTTTGTCAACAGAGTGTGTGAGCGTCAGCGACGCAAGTACTCGGGGGTGATTGTCTTTGAAAAAACCATCACCATAAAAAATACCAAAGTGGCAAAATCATCGGAGGGATTCATCCTAGGATGACACGAAATTTCGACATTATCTGGCTTGTCATCTTACTCAGCCCAAATTTGAGTATCTGCCATGCCGGGAAAGGTGAGTTGAGGTGAACGCACGGCGGGGAATCGATCCCCCCAAACTCTGAACCAGTTTTACTAGAAAAAAAAGAATCAACAAAATCGTCCGGGGGATATGTTTTGTTTTGCCTCGTTTTTTTCGGTACAGCTTGGGCATTTCATTCTGCACGGTACAGTGACATTATTTCGTTTTGCTCAGAGTTCGACGTGTGTTTATCGGAGGATGAATTATCGAGGGACGTGTACCAGCAGCTGATCGAATTACTCGAAACCATCAATGTTGTTTGTCCACATTTTTCCAATTGCAACAATTTTCGTTTCAATGAGAAACGTCGAATTATCTTCATCATCATAATCAATTATCCCCCTTTCGCCCTGGAATCGTGACATGTCATACCCCACGTCTCCCACATTCTTATACCGACGTGTCTTTATTTTATATTCCAAACCGCTCGCACTTATTAGCCCTCTACTTATGAAGAAAACTCCCGGCAAAACAAAAGCGTAAACAAAAAAAATAAAGGCAAGAAAAAAAGTGACTTGTGGAGTTGAGCTATCCTCCTCCAAGTTTACTGCAGACGTTGCCGTCGGCTATATGTACTCACAAGGTGGCAGCGTAACTAAATTGGATTCAAACTTTACCCTGTCCCCATTATCACCGTCGATGTCACTGCTCCCGTTTTTTCTCTCCCTCCAACGTTCTAATCCACACCGACAAACGCAATAAATGCGATTAAGCGATATGCTTTCAGATGTGGACAAGGGACCTCAGCGTGAGTGCAAACTCGAGGGTCTTCATCCCCTACTCATAATGACATACAAAAATGTAACCATATCCGTAAGTAAAAAGGTAAAAGCATAGAAATAATCCACAGTTCGTACGTAGAAGCGTAAAATTGTCATATCTCTCTAGATCTCTTCGTAGATATTCACCATAAGATATACTGACTGATGCCTCTTCATGCATATGTATCGCTTGAAGAGGGACCAACATTGGTGAATATCGATTTTGAAATAATGCAAATAGGTGGAATATATATATATATATGTTCGCCGAAGGAACGAAAGAAAATTTTAGTGTACAACGGGATATATCCAGTGTTGGAGAATATGACGAGATGAGTAATGGAGACAGAAACATGCTGATGGGTTACATGGGGATTTTACAGGCGGACAAGATAACAATTCCACACGGTGAACGAGTTACAGTGAGATGTCGGGAGTTGGGGAGATATAAGCTCGTTGGGGATCCACTATTGGTGTGTAGAAATGGGGGATGGAATGGAAAATCTCCGTCGTGTATTCCTACAACATCTATTTCAAATTACTCGGGTAAGGAAAGTTATTTCATCAACCATATTTTGTTCTCATGCTGTTGGCGAATTATCACACTGTTTCCCGCCAAAAATGTCACCTTGTTATTCGGTAATTCAGACGAAGTGTACTAGGCATCAACTGCAAATGGGGTTTCAAGAGTAATGGAATGGGGAGGGGAATGGGTGGAGGGTGAAACAATGGGATTAAAAAACAGTTGTATCTCTTCACAGCCGTAACTCACCTTATTTTTTAACTTCCCGGCAGGGAAGTTATTGTAATGGCCCCGAAAATCAAAAATCGATTTTTCATCAAATCTCCATGTTTCAAGGTCTTTTCGATGTTCCTAGACAATTTTAAACAAAATGTCTGTCTGTGTGTGTGTGTGTGTGTGTTACTAGGTATGTACGTGGTCAAAATTTTGGTTAACGATTTCTCGTGAACAAATTGTCCGATTTGACTTCTTTTTTTTTCAATCGATAGGTTTTCATTCAACTTAGAGCGGATTAGATTTTGGCTGATATCTGTTTAGTGGTTTTTGAGTTTTCCCGGAAAGAAAATTTCAAAATGACAAAAAGGCAACGAACACAAACAAGGGTTTCTCATGAACAAATAAACAGAGTATTGAGAGTTGAAAAGGATTCTTTTAGTCAAAATGGGAGGAATAATAATATCGGGAAGTTATTGGTGCGACCCGTCCGACGGGTCAATGGGAGCGAGCGCATCGAGCGACCAATAGCCCAATCCACTAGTTACTTTCGAGCTGAAGGGAGGAAGTTATTGTAATGACCGCGATAATCGAATGGGGAATTTCCGTGATTTCTCCACATTTCTTGGCCGTTAGAATCATCCTGATGCGTTTTTGAAGACATGTCTGTATGTGTGTGTGTACGTGTGTGACCAAAATTTTGTCCAACGATATCTTGTGAACAAATGAACCAATTCAGAAATTTCTTTTTTTTTCAATCGATGCGTGGGAATGTACACTGTTGGAAAAAAATGAAATTTCATGCATAGTTGACCACTAATTTTCTGGACAGTGACACTGAATGCGATTTAGGGAAATGAAAACTATGAAATTGCAGGTTTCACTGAAAATTCAGTAAAATTCCAGAATTTTAAGCAGCATAAAGACGAGATTCCCTTAATGCATTAGAATTTTCAATCTAATATGAATATTCGGTGCCAAATTACATTGAATTTCCAGTGAAATCGGAAATTTCATAATTTTTTTCCCCCTAAATCGCATTCAGTGTCATTGCCCTAAATATTCAAGAATATATTTACCGGAATTTTCTGGTTTTCTAGTCATTTTCAGGAAAAAATGGAACTGACATTCACAGTTCTCTTTGATTTTTCCACGAAATTCTGAATTTTCAATGACGGAATTCCCTGAAATTTCAGCGGTAATTAAATTTGATAGAAAATTCGAAAAAATGTTCCGGAAATTTCAAACAAAATTTTTTAACAGTGTACATTAGAACTGATTATGTTATGAAGATGATCGTCTCAGAGGTTCGTTAGTTATTCGCATAATACTCGTGAAAAAATCGAAAAAAGTGAGTTTTCTGCGAAAATTCAACCATTTTACCGAGAATAATGATGGGTTTTTATTTTTTTATGCGGTCGATGCATCTACACTGTTAGAAAATTACTCTTGAAATTATCAACAATGAAAAAGTTATATGAAATTTCTGTATATTTGTTCATTGACGAATCAGTTAATTTCTTGAATATTCAAGTAAATCTCGATTTTTCAGGTCCATTCGGCACTGAAAAACCTCGAAAATTTTGAAGATTCAGGCAACAACTTTTCTAAATTCTGAAGTTATTGAAAATTGAATTGTATGTGATGTTCAATTTTCACGATGAGTTTGGAAATTCAAGTTTTCATTGAAAAATCAATGATTGTTTAACATTCAAAGCCCAGTTTTCTTGAATTTTCAAAATGAATGAGGAATTTAGTGAACGCTTTCATTTGAAATTGAATTCAACTTCACAAGATCGAAAATTCAGATGACGCTGTGACTGAAATTTCAGGAAATTCCCGACAGTGTACATGTAATTGCATTTCGATTGGATTCTGAGTAAAATCGTCTTAGCCGTTTTCTTCTTATCCGTATGGAAATTTCAAAATTTCCTTTTTTCCTTTTTGATAAATAGGAAAATGGGAATCGGTCGGGCAGTTATGGGGTTCGACTCGTAATGGGCCATACGCACTCCAACCCACCCGCAATGGGACAAGGGACCAACAACCCAGTCGAATTTTTCTCATTGAAATAATAAAGATTAGTAGCAATTCCATCGGATTTTTGTACAAGGCTGCACTGTTAAAAATTTCTTGAAATTTCAGTCACAATGTCCTCTGAATTTCCAATGTTATGAGTTTGAATTCAATTTCAATTGAAAATGTTCACTAAATTTCTTATTCATCTTGAAAATTCAAGAAAATTTGATTTTTCATATTAAAAAACCATTGAATTTTCACTAGATTGAAAATTCAGAGAAGTTATTGCCTGAATTGTCAACATTATCAAGGTTTTTCAGTGCCGTATGGATCTGAAAATCGAGAATTACTTGAATATTCAAAAAATTAACTGATTTGTCAATGAAGATTCTACAGAAATTTCATGTAACTTTATCGTTGAAAATTTCAAGTTGTTTTACTTGAAATTTCAAGTTTAATTTTCTAACAGTGTGTGTGAAATTCAGGCGTGGAGGGAAAAATCCAAATAAAGAGAGAGAAAGTGTAAAGGGGATGAGACTCGTGGGAGGGTAAAAGTAGCGGCTTTTCTCGCCCTCCTCGAGGGATTGCGGGCAAACGCTTGGGCACCCGCGGGGGACCTATCCGGATCTCTACGGATTTACTTTCTGGCCACGTAGACTTTTCGCATTCCGTGTATAAAACCATCGGGCGTTCATCTCTGTCATCCCACTACATCCGATTTGCACATCGGTACACGCACAATTTATTTTAATGAAGAAATCCCCCTCTAGTCTTTTTGCCGTTTCAATGAACAGACCATACACCCGATTGAGCATGATTTTTTTAATACTCCGGAGGCAACCGCCAGTGGCTAGAAACAACATGGGCAAAACAAAAAGAGTAGTAACAATCGACGCGTCGAGGAATGGGAAAAGCTGTGACATGCAAGAGGAAAAAAGCGTGGAAAAAGAAAGGGGTGTGAGGGAGGCAAGTGAAAAGAATTGCGAAATAGCTTGTGGGAAGGTTGAAACAGCTGCTGCCACTGGTGGTTGGCTACGAAATTGTGTGCGTGAGATGGAACAAAGAGCGTCACTTTGTGAGAAAAATGCGCCCATTTAGGGGCGGGGGAGCAAGGGGTGCAAGCAATGTGAAATTTCTCCACAAAAAGCTAAAGAACATGTGCCCATTATTCTGTTCAGATAATGTTCCACCGACAATTCTGTTCGGTCTACCCAGGGGATCAGCGGCTATTGAGCCCTCGGGCGCCCTGGCTGTCTTCCCAGGAAGTATACTACACCTAGAGTGTTTATTTGCCCGACGCATGGGCAATCCAGAGTGGACATGGAACTCCACATTTCGTCAATATCTCACGGGTATGTATCCCATTGAGTCGTATGTAAATAATCCTCACAACAAATTGAATGAACTACTGGACTGGTGGATGAGTTGAACAATCGTCGAGTTCTTTTTAGGGAGAAATATTTACATTTGAAATTGCATTCTTGGTTCTTAGTGAGCGGGAGACCTTTGAATATTTCCGATAAAAGAGAGTGGGGGGAGGAAAAATAGACTGAAAATGTAAATAAAACTGAAGAACTTGTTTTACTGCAATCCGCCCGGTTTCTCATGCTGCATTGTACACAACCGAGTTGCCATTGTTCAGTTTGAACGGTTGTGTAGGCAGGAGGACCCTCACCACAATTCTTTGACCCCCTCCCACTGCCTCCTCAAACCCTTCTCCACAGCGATCCGGCAATTAGTGGAGAGAGAAATGAAGGGAAAGGGAGAATCACGGAAAACACACGTGATGTCCCTCCACCAGGGGAAACGAGAGTTATTTATCGGTTGAACGTCGGTACAGAAAATGGGGGGACGAGAACTGGCCGTTGGGTTAATGAAACATTGACGCGTCGCTGGACTCTCCGCACTATCTCGAAAGCGGGGGTATTAATCCACCACGATAGCCATCATTTCCAGGGTGCATGCGCACCGAAAGCACTCTGCTCTATCATCATCGCATATCAACGTCGTCATTATGCTGCCGATCATAAGCCCCTGCTCTTTCACATGGCACTCAATGATTTTACCCTCACATTTGACGTTCCATCCCTATGGAAAAATTAATGCCTTTTCCGATATTTTACTTATAGGCTGGGCTATTGCACCGTCCGAGAAAGATTGGAAGTACAGGCTGTCGATATATTACGTGAAGAATCAAGATTCTGGGGTTTATACCTGCTCTACGCCCAAAGGCCTAACTAATTCCATAAAAATCCACGTCGTAGGCAAGTTTAGCCCTGATGTCGATATTAGGGTAAACCGCCCAGTAGATGGACGTTTGTTTTTTAGCAATTGAAAAAAAAAATTAATCGAAAAAAAATCGTTACTCGAGAGGTTAAGAATCACAACAGTTAGTGAAAATTCAAAGCAACAATTCACATTTCAGTACTTTTTTGCGTAATTTGCCATCCAAAAGTAGCTTGTCCATCTACTGGGTAGCTTACCCTACACGGAGAGAAAAATTCAATAAAAATTACGGGAAAAAATAAATTTGATACAACTTTGATACTTTGATACAACTGGAATTGTAGGATACGTCCATGCACGCACGAACAATTTAATAGAAAAACCTATCGAATTCGTTAGAAAATTCTATTAAACTTTCTATTAGTTTTTGGCTGATTCTATTGACATGTTCAATAGAAAAAGTCAGAATTCGATTTTTCTACATAACTTATTCTTTTCATATATTTTCTGTAGAATTTGCTCGACTGACATTTTCGAAGTTTTTTTCATTCTATTTTTCTTTTCTTCTCATCAAGAAAATCAAATGAAAAGACTTAGAAAATTTGAGCCGAGGAAATTCTATAGAAAATATCTCAATAGAATAAGTTATACAGAAAAATTGAATTCCATTGACTTTTTCTACTAGAACAGCTAATAATAATAAAAGAAAAACTAATAGACCAGTTCAATAGAAATTTAATAGAATTTTCTAACGAATTCGATAGGTTTTTCGATTAAATTGACCACTGTGTGGTCTTTTCTTCTGTCTTGAATTTCCTAGAAACCCCTTGAATTCCCTTTTCTAGAAACTCCCTGAATTTCCTCGAAATGTCTAGAATTTTCTAGAATTCCGATCGATGGCGCTGCACATAAGGACCGTTTCTCAAAATGACCCCCATATTGAAACCATAGACGTATCCCCGTAAAAAAAACGTAAAAATTACGGTTCGAAACGTAATCCATGAGCGAAGTAAAATTCAATAAAAAGTGTGAGTCGGAACTGAAATTGTACGAATCGCCACGTAAATTCTACGATTTGTTCCGTAAAAATTAACCACCCGTCTGATGACTCCCCGCTGTGGAACAACAAGTCGTTCCGTAATTTTTCCCCAACGATTGAGAAAATTTACCCAACGGAATGTAGAAATAACTCATTAGCTTCATAAAAATTGTTGAACGTTCAAGAGTTTTTGATTTTGCAGGCATAATAAGTCGGGAAGTTTCTGTAAGATTTTACTTCCTCGGGAAAGATTACCTGACATTTTCGTACTTTGTTCGGTGATGAACCTGAGAATTCACTGAACGTTTCAGATTTTTTCTCCATTCCTATAAAAATTGTCGGAAAACCATTCCCCACTGCGGATTACGTGAATTGTTCCGTATTTTTGACTGAATATTTCTCTCCGTGTACTGACACGAAAAGATTTTTCTGATGAAAAATCCTTGTTGCTCGTTAGGTGAAAATGAGGTTTTTCCCTCTATCCGATAAATTGAAATGATTTTCTCCCTCAGATACTCATTGTCCCACCCTCATACCCACACCTGCACCACTGTCCAGCAAGATCCAGGGCGCCAGAATGGGTCAGAGAGCTGAGTTCGAGTGTCCAAATGGGTACAGACTCGTTGGCTCGAAAGTTCTCAATTGCCAATACAACGGTGAGTCGAATTGAATTCTTTCCTCTTCCTTTTCAATCCTCACTTCTCTCTCAATGTTCAACCTTTTCTCGAACAGTCTAGTTGGGTGAATTTTTATCCTGCAAGCGAAAAATTTTTCGTGTCTGCCGGTAATTGCGAATCAGACTCGTTAGCCGCACGAATTACTGCACGAAACGAGTCGTGATAATTGAATGAAACCCACGGGGGGGGGAGTAAATAGAGGGGGGAGGGGGAGGGATGAAAGAGTGAGTGAGTGCACCTCTGGAAAATTGGTTGCGCATTGCAGGAAGATGGTCGAGTGAGGTGCCACGCTGTGAGCTCATACTGTGTCCAGAGATTGTTCTGCCTAATGCAAAACTTCAGATGTTGGAGCACAATAACAGTGTCAGTGGTAATGCTGTATTCACCTGTCTGTGGGGTAATGTACTACTAGGATCCCAGACTATATCCTGCGGTGAGGATGGCACGTGGAACGCCACTGTACCCGTTTGTTCTCGTAAGACTAATGGCCTGTGGTTTACAAAAAAAAATCTACTAATCTTTTGTTCATTATTTAAGGGATGAAAAATGTTTTTCTGCAGAGATAACGTGTCCTCTACCGTCTGTCCCTAAAAACGGAATAATTCTGGAGCAGGAGAGGAGCCCAGCAGTGGGAAAAAAACGGATTACCAAGGCCAACAAGGCCAGAAAAGTGGGATCGTTGTTGAGATTTGCCTGCCTTCCTGGGCATCAATTAATTGGGGAGGGATCCATTATTTGTACGGAGAATGGCACGTGGTCCCATGAACCTCCATTGTGTAAGTGACTTTTTTCGAGTGAACCTTTTTGGTGACTAAAGATGTTGGGAGGATATCGGCTGACGGGGGAATTTGAATTTCATGAGCTTTATTTAATCTTCAATATTTAGTGATGAAATCATACGATTTGAATAAACTCGACCTAATTTCCAAATTTAAAAGTAAAACTTGGACGGGAGGAGAACTTCGTTCAATTTCACTCTCACCAGAGGATATTTCAATTTATTAGCATAATTTGGATGAAACAGGCTCTCCGTGATGCACTTTTGCATGATGCTGAGTGTTAAATTTCAAATATCACTACTTGATTATCTTTCTGAACAGTCCTGCTAGTCCATTCACAGTTCTGTGGACGGATATAAAATGAAATAGGTTGTTTTAATTTAGAAATCTAAAGGATACATTTATTTCGTTCCACAAACTGGAATTTTTTGAAAACAAAAATGGAAAATCCTCATAAATATTATTATTAGTGCTAATATTCATTTTAGCTATCAAAAAGGATGATTTATATGTAAATTTGCTGAAAGTGTCCGAAATTCCTAGGGGAATCATCGTGGCATAAATGTGCCTGCAAATTGACTAACTCCGCACGGAGGAGAAACTTCGGGAAAAATTACGTGACACAACGTAAACCTGACGCGAAATGCTCGTTCGGGAAAAAATACGACGCGAAGAATTCTAGAAATTTAATGGATTGAAACATAAATTTTACGTAACAGACCATAAAAAATTCGCACGGAGAACAGTGATTTCTACGAAGCGTTATTTATGAATCACGATTAAACCTCACAACGTAATCTTTACGTGATTTGGACGTTTTTTTTCAAATACTTTCGACTCGTCTGTAAAATTTAAAAGTCTACCTCAAAGCCGTATTTTTCAAAATTTTATCTTTGCATTTCTACAATACCACTGTAACATTTTTAGGCTCACTGCACTGAGAGAAAAACGAACAAGTTTTCAAACAAGTTGGTTGGACCAACAAAATTGTTAGTTGAAAGGTACCAAAGAAATAACTGTTTGGTTCGAATTTAAACGTCTCAAACATGAATAATTGCTCTGCTTTCAACGACAACGAAATATTTGCTCAAGAGACGGATCATTCAGACAAGAGAGTGCTTTTTCAGGAGAAAAATAATTTTTATAGAGGGAAGTTTATCAAGAAATATTTTGTCTCTAAGTTACAAGATTGCTGTCATATCATTATTATTATATATAATAATTTAAGAATTGACTAGCAAACTGGCGTTTCGCGCCCGTCGCTAGGTGGGTTTATACTATTCTATTTCATTTTATTTTCTTGCCATTTCCCTCTTAACAATTAAATTAATTTAAGTTTATCCATTTTTATTTTTATTATATTTTTTTTTCGTTAATTCGCATGTTACAACATTAAATGAAGAGGAATTATATTAAAGAACACTAAGCACTAAAAAGTATTTTTCGTCATATCTGCACGGAAAGTTCAATTTTCCGCCCCAAATGACGGCAAAAGGTGGTTTATTTAATTCCTCGGATTTCTGTTGTTTTTGACGATCCTCGGAATGACATAACCCACGTTCCTCCCTGCATTTACGAAGAAAAATCGAATTATACCGTGCAGTTATGACAAAAAATAGTATGTCTATCTAGGAGGGAAACCACGCGCGGGTTAAAATGTCCTGATTTCCTCCCTTGGTGCACAATCTACTATTTCCTATGATCAAAACAAACACACAAAACAAAGTCATTCGAAACCTCATTCGGGTAATATAAAAATTTCTCCATGTATTCCTGAAAATTTTAAAAATTTATTTTCTTTCGAAAACTGAATGAATACCCACAAATTTGATTCCTTCCCTTGTCTCTTGACACAATGAATAGAATAAATGACAGAAATTGACAATTGGAGACTAAAAATTTTATCGGATTATGATTATGTAATTATTTGTCTGCGATTATTGAATAGTCGAAACGACAAACAACTATCTCTCATTCCATTGAACAGACTAAATCAATTTTTGAACTAAAAATTTTCAATTTCGGCGCACATTTCGCATGTTTGGGAGAAAAAAACTACTTTTATCATTTTTAACAGACGATTTTATTGGCACAAGTAAGAGTTGTTTGAGAACTCTGCTGTTTTTCTCTCAGTGCAGCACGAACTCCACAGCATCCTCTCCTCCATCTTGCTAAAGAAAATAATTTAATCAGGTGAAGTCAGGTGTCCATATCCCGGCGATCCACCCCATGGAAAAATCGCTCCACTGAAATTCTGGTACAAGCCCGGTGATACAATTCAAGTTACATGCTCACTGGGTTACGTAACTCCATTGGAGCCAGAGAGGAAGCCAACGTGCAGAGAGAATGGCATCTGGAGTGGACCACCACCCCCCTGCACATCCTACAGAGATGTTTGAATTCCACTCATCGACACAGTACCAAAGAGTTCAATCCGAAGCAATTTAAATATCTAACGAATCGATGAATAAAAAATCTTGCGATTTTTTTCATCGATTGTCAATCGATTTCGATCGAATCAAATTGACTCTGCCGTTACGGCAAAATTATTAGCAAAGAGAAACCATGTTTTCCACAAAAGATGAAATAAAAAAAGGGCGCAACTCGAAAGCTCCACTCGTCTTGGTTCACTTGAGACCTTTCTATTTTTCTTCCAGCATCTTCTTTATCTTACCCTCGAATGGTCCTCATCGTCTATCCTCACTAACTCCATGGCCTTGTATTTGCACGGAGATTAATTAAAGCTCCTTGCCATCTCCCTCCCTTCCCCCTCGCTCTCACCCTTCACCACCCACCTTTTATCCTCATTTCAACTTGAGGATCAACCCCCGATGGCATTTGAAAACCCCTCAAGCCAGAGTGTATCAAACGTTGAGAAATCCTTGTAAATACAACTGTGAATTACTTTACAAGCCAAACAAAAATGAGGTATGTACGTATTATTGAAGAGTCTGGGAGGGCAAGGGAAACATCTTCTTTGGATGAGAGAGATATAAGGCGTATAAAACACCTTGGCAGTGCGACTTCAGTAGCGAATTGACAAATCAATCGTAATTTTGATTTATTTGAAAATTTGCGAAAATGTTGTATTTGTTGAAAATCAGAATTCCGGGGATATCTTTGAATATCATTCATCAAACGAATTCACTCATAGCTTAAAATATTTGTTTTAATGCCGTTAAGTCGGAGCCATTAAACGATGATTACGATAGCTGTATTGATTTTTTTTAAGGCCTTTTGAGTCCCCTTTTCGGGTCTTGTTTCGGCATTTCTATCCAACTCTATGCATGCGGCTGTGGATTCTACACTGTACCGCGTTCGCACTCCTATAGAACACAGGAGTAGCATGGTAAACCACAGGAAACCTATGCCGGTACAAGCGGTTACTCTATTAGCAACCTCCTGCTCGCCGGAGCCTTCCGTTGAAAAATTCGGTTCCACGGGGAATCGAACTCGCAATCTTCCACATATGTACTAGACTTGCGTCTAATACACTCGGCCACCGAGGGCGGTTCCACCTCGGTTTTTTTCGACTTGAACGTTTTGCTATTCAGTTGACAGAGATATTAAGTGATTTAACTACATAGAGAAAAAACATTCCAGAATTTTGAGGAGAAATGGTGCTTGCCTCTACTATAGTAAGAGGATATAACTGAAACGAACAGAAGAAGAAGAAGAAGAAGAAGAAGAACTCAACCTTTCGCACATTACACTTGCGCCTAGCCCACGCGGCCACCGACGTCGGTATCTGTATTGGTTGATTTGATCTTCATGACGATTGTTGAAAATTTCAAATTTTGTATGAATTTCCGTGGAACTGAGCTTTCTGATGGTTTCTTCAAATGTGATGTGAGGGGTTACGCACTCCCTAATTGAGTGACACCATGATTTCAAAGTGAAGTCGATTTCCGGTGATTTCAAGCGTCACGGGAGGTGATTTCATCATTTCGAATGAGTTCATCAATTCGAAATCAATTCGAAATAATAAAGGTAAGACAAAACTCGTTGTGTCAAATTATGAAAATCAAAACTGGAAAATAATAACGAAATCGTTTGATTTCACTCCGCCAATCATAGGCAAATGACAACGAAAAGCGATCCATTTTACCATGTTACTATGGCAGTAAGTATGGCATTTTATTATCATCGTCGGCAGGCATGTCAATTTCAAAATCACGAATTACTTGCACGCAGGAGAGAAATGTTCAGTAAAAATGACGGAACTCACAATTCGCTCGGCGATTACGGAATCGATTCAGAAAATTTAGGTGACGGTATCGTAATTTTTCACAGGAGATTCAGATAAAAATTACGGAACGCTCTGAAAAAATTCCGTAACAGTTCCGTAAAATGTCCTGAAACCACATTTCGCTCCGGAATTACGGAAGATACGTAATTTTTACTGTATACGAGATCGGGCGCGCGTGCTACACACGCGCCTTCTCATCTCCTCACGTAGTGGCGCTTCGGTTTCAATCTTACGCTTACGCTTATTCGAGATTTTCGAGATATTTCGAAATCGATATTTCCCGATCGATTTCCTTTCTCCTTTTTACGATGGGATTTCTTTCCGTGCGGTTCGCATTACGCCAGTGCGTGATTTCAATGATTTCACGTAATTTCGGAGTGATTTTTGAATGAATTCAGTAGTGAACTGGTCAAACGGTTTAAGTCAATTCCATTCTAGTATCAGTTCCCGATGAAAATTTCAAATTCTAAAGGAGTTAGCAAAATTTTCCTAACAATCTTTCTTGTGAAGAAAAGTGAAGACTATCTTCACAACGCTATCTTTCATAAATTCCGAGTTATTCAACGAAAACTCAACTGGGAGCTAAGTCGACTTAAACCGATTGACAACTTCACTACTGATTTCATGCCAGAGTGGCGCTGCGAGCTCGGGAATGAGTATCGCCTCGACGTGATGTTTCAAATTCATTCAACTATGTACAAAATGAAAATTTTCGAGCAGCATTTTATCAAAGGGCTGGGAAGGAAACAGAACCGTGAAAAAAGATAATCGGTTGTATAGAAGAACGGGATAAGAATAATGATGATGATAACATTAAACTAATCTGAAAATCTGACAAAATGAGTTAAAAATAAATCTTATTCAATGTAATAACATGAAATAAACAATGAACAATACATCATAGACGGAAATGATGTGCAAGAAGGAGGAATCCTTGTAAATACAACTCCGAATTACTTTACAAGCCAAACAAAAATGAGGTATGCACGTATTATTGGAGAGTCTGTGAGAGCAAGGGAAACATTTTCTTTGGATGAGAGAGCTATAAGACGTATAAGACACCTCGGCAATGGGACTTTAGTAGCGAATAGACAAATCACCGGATCAAGACCTGAGTGTTCTTTCTTTTGCGTTCTTGGGAGGTCGATAACAGTGGAACTATTCATTCCCGGAAGAAAGCCCTCTTGTACACCTCTGGATAATCCAACTCTTTGTATGGATTGGTGCACCGAACGGTGCGTTTGTATTCTTATGCGATCCCCTTGGCCTCTTTTTTTCCAGTACCTCGCCCTTTATCCGCAGTTCTCTTATCCCCCACAGATACCTTATCACGTTCATTTTTTTACTGGGATAATGCTCTTGGATAAAACCAATTGCATCATTAGTCTATATCAGGTAAACAATATCCGTTCCTCCTTTGATAGGGGAGGCTGGGTAAAATGGGCACCTTTGATCAATTTTTTCGATGATTATAACTCAAACAGAAATTTATGAAGTAAGTTCTGTCGAGTCTTATGATAAAGGGAAAGGGGGATTGTGATTTCCAAATAAAAAAAATTATCGTATTAATAATTCAATGAACCATTGAAATTTCAAAAGAAGTCCAAAGTGCCGATTTTTTCCCATTCCTCCCAACTCGAAGAGAGGAACTTATCATAGTTACCTCGAAAGCCGAAACTGGAAATTTCATATCTCCACGGTTTTGATGTCTCGAAACGTTCCATGAAGTTTTTGAAATTACGATTACATAAACGTATTTAACGACTACAAAATCATAAATTACGCTTATAGTCGCCGAAAATTACGATTACATAAACGTAATTCGCGACGATTATGAGCGTAATTTTCGATTGCGAAATCGTAAATTAGCATGATTATAAATCGTAATTTACGACAATTATAAACGTGAATTACGTATTCATAAATGTAATTTACGCTCAAAATCGTCGTAAATTACGATGATTTTTTCTTATTTTTGATAAACGTAGTTGACGTTTTGATAAACGTAAAAGACGCTTTGTTTATGCGTAATTTACGTTTTTATTTTGACCGTAGAATATTCTTTTTTAAAGCCCAAATTCCGATATTCATGACGGAAAAAAATCCACCAGACATCATATTGACGTTAAGTGTAAATTACGTTTATCAAAACGTTTTTTTTATCGTTATTTTACATCGCTTCGACCCGGTTAGGGTATACTGCGATGATGATCAAAGACTTTAAATGGTTAGATCGCACCATTCTACCCGGCCGGGATTTGAACTCGGAACCTTTCGCATGTGAGGCAACGAACTTACCCACTGCGCCAAGCCACCGGGCTTAAAACATAATTTACGTTTAGGTTTTTCTGTGTGTATGCGAATGAAGTCAATCGATGCATTTCAACGATTACATTCGGAAAAACATTGTCTCAGCTGTTTTTTACATGTTTTTCAATGGAAATCGTAAAAAAAAGTCGAAATAGTATATTTCGATACAAGTGCGACGGGGTGGCAACGAGTGTGAAGTTGGTGGCCCGAGGCGAAGCCGAGGGCTGCCAATCACACGTGTTAAAACAACCCGTCGCACGTGTATCCGAACTATATTTTTCATCACGCTGTGCGAAAAANGAATGAAGTCAATCGATGCATTTCAACGATTACATTCGGAAAAACATTGTCTCAGCTGTTTTTTACATGTTTTTCAATGGAAATCGTAAAAAAAAGTCGAAATAGTATATTTCGATACAAGTGCGACGGGGTGGCAACGAGTGTGAAGTTGGTGGCCCGAGGCGAAGCCGAGGGCTGCCAATCACACGTGTTAAAACAACCCGTCGCACGTGTATCCGAACTATATTTTTCATCACGCTGTGCGAAAAAGTAACTTTTTAGGCACGCTTCGCGTGCCTAAAACGTCCCATTTCCGCATCTTGTGATGAAACATATCGTTCGATACTCGTGGGAAAAGTGTTTTTTGGCTCGTGGGATTATATCACTCGCCTTCGGCTCGTGCTATATAAACCTCCCACGAGCCAAAAAACACATTTCCGCATCGTAACGAAATATACTATTTTGTTAGTGATGTTAAGTTCAGCGAGTGCCGAACTGTGCCATTTTTCGTTTACGAGTAAATGAAAAGTCTTTTCGTTTACAAGTTTCGACTTTTTGTTTACTAGTAAACGAAAAGGCACTTTTCGACACGGGCTGAACGTAGCAGCAGTGACAAAATAGTATATTTCGTAACGAGTGCAAAAAAGTGTTTTTTGGCGAGTGGGAGGTTTATATCACGAGCCGAAGGCGAGTGATACAATCCCACGAGCTAAAAAACATTTTTTCACGAGTTACGAACAATATTTTTCATCACAATGTGGCGGAAATTGGACTTT